GTGTGTGTGTGTGTGTGTGTGTGTATGTGTGTGTGTGTGTGTGTGTGTGTGTGTGTGTGTGTGTGTGTGTGTGTGTGTGTGTGTGTGTGTGTGTGTGTGTGTGTGTGTGTGTGTGTGTGTGTGTGTGTGTGTGTGTGTGTGTGTGTGTGTGTGTGTGTGTGTGTGTGTGTGTGTGTGTGTGTGTGTGTGTGTGTGTGTGTGTGTGTGTGTGTGTGTGTGTGTGTGTGTGTGTGTGTGTGTGTGTGTGTGTGTGTGTGTGTGTGTGTGTGTGTGTGTGTGTGTGTGTGTGTGTGTGTGTGTGTGTGTGTGTGTGTGTGTGTGTGTGTGTGTGTGTGTGTGTGTGTGTGTGTGTGTGTGTGTGTGTGTGTGTGTGTGTGTGTGTGTGTGTGTGTGTGTGTGTGTGTGTGTGTGTGTGTGTGTGTGTGTGTGTGTGTGTGTGTGTGTGTGTGTGTGTGTGTGTGTGTGTGTGTGTGTGTGTGTGTGTGTGTGTGTGTGTTGTGTGTGTTGTGTGTGTTGTGTGTGTTGTGTGTGTTGTGTGTGTTGTGTGTGTTGTGTGTGTTGTGTGTGTTGTGTGTGTTGTGTGTGTTGTGTGTGTTGTGTGTGTTGTGTGTGTTGTGTGTGTTGTGTGTGTTGTGTGTGTTGTGTGTGTTGTGTGTGTTGTGTGTGTTGTGTGTGTTGTGTGTGTTGTGTGTGTTGTGTGTGTGTTGTGTGTGTTGTGTGTGTTGTGTGTGTTGTGTGTTGTGTGTTGTGTGTTGTGTGTTGTGTGTTGTGTGTTGTGTGTTGTGTGTTGTGTGTTGTATGTTGTGTGTTGTGTGTGTCGCATAACTCATGAACCGATACACAGAAAAACACCAAATTTTAAACTTAAGCTTTTTTTCGGCGTCCAATGAACTGATTAGATTTTGGGCAGAGTCGGAACATCTGGGGGGTACTTTATAGGTGGTCATTTTTATATTTTATGGAATATATCTTTTATTTACATTTGGAGAAGAAAATTCTTCAAATATAGACCAGAGCATACTGGCGCATTCGTTTGTAAAATTGTTTTAATTCGTAGTTTTTTTTTTAATGGCCGGAAGGCTCTCCTGATCATAAAAGTGTAAGATGACACTCGATATCTGTTGATGTTATTGTTTAAACAACAAAAAATTAATTAAGCCAGAAAAAATGCATTTTTTGCAATGAATTAATTTTTTTTATATTTTTTAGAATATTTCGAATAAAAAAAGTCCTTACGCCCATCATCGTATCTTTAACCCTTTAATTGTTATGAATATTTTAAAATCCGAAAGTGACGAAAATTCTAATTTTCTTGAATACCTTAAAATTTAAAATGCTATAATTTTAAATTTTTTACCGAATATTCAAACTGTAATAAATAAAATAACCTAAATAAATTTTCAAAATTTTGTTTGTTGTTATGTTTTTTTTACGTTATAACAATATGCTTCCTACGCGCGTTTACTTTTAGAGAGTAGTACTTCTATCTCACTTCCAACTCAATGTATAAAAACTGTTTTTCAGCGGTAATAAGTTTAAAAAAATTATTATTAACATTTTTCATAACACTTTGTTATATTTGTTTTGTATCATGTTATTTTTTTTTACTTTTTTAGACACTTTTGATAACTTTTTATTCTTTGAAGTTAATAGAAATGTTCCATTCACAAAAAAATCATTGCCAAGAGCTGTCTAAGAAATAAATTTTTTTCACTTTTTTTCCAATAAGATAAAAGAAGACAAACACACCACCGTAATTCAAGGGAAATTTCTACCTGTTACGATGAGTATAGTTGACTCACCTGGTTTTTATTTTAAAACAGAGTACGCAATATATATGTATTCAATTTTTTCTATGGTTGTTAATTATTTTCCACTATGATTATTTAATAGTAAAATTCATTTATTAAGAAAATTTTTACATAAAATCATAGTTTGTATTACATCTAACTAGTTTTTACATGAAATTGATTTTGGCAACATTCAATTAAACATCCGCATAATGCCACACACGTCATGTTTAGTTTTTGACACGAACAAGCTTTCTTTGCACAATTTTTTTTACAGTTGCGCGGTTCTGCTAAGTCTTCAGGTAATGGCGGTTTTGTTAAATACAGTGGCTTTATTTGGTTATCACAGAAAACAACCAAAACCAGAGAAATCTAAAGATCATGACAAGTGCATTTGGCCTTTTTATCGTATTAAAAAAAAAAAATTAAAGAAGATTTTACTTCTCAATCTGACAATAATTTTTTCATGAATAAAAATAAATGTTAAAAATAAATGTTTCTGTTAACTTTAATAAATAAAAAAGTTATCAAAAGTATCTAAAAAAGTAAAAAAAAATCACATGATACAAATATAACAAAGTGTTATGAAAAATGTTAATAATAATTTTTTTAAATTTATTACTTGTGAAAAACAGCAAAAAATTTATTCAGCGCGTCATCGGGCTTTCTCTTACCCATCTTATACATTGAGTTGGAAGTGAGATAGAAGTACTTCTCTCTAAAAGTAAACGCGCATAGGAAGCATATTGTTATAACGTAAAAAAAACATAACAACGAACAAAATTTTGAAAATTTATTTAGGTAATTTTGTTTATTATTGTTTGAATATTCGGTAAAAAATTTAAAATTATAGCATTTTAAATTTTAAGGTATATTATTTAATTCAAGAAAATTAGAATTTTCGTCAATTTCGGATTTTAAAACATTAATAACAATTAAAGGGTTAAAGATACGATGGTGGGCGTAAGGACTTTTTTATTCGAAATATCCTAAAGAATATAAAAAAAATAATTCATTGCAAAAAATGCATTTTTTCTGGCTTAATTAATTTTTCGTTGTTTAAACAATAACATCAACAGATATCGAGTGTCATCTTACACTTTTATAATCAGGAAAGCTTTTCGGACATTTTAAAAAAAAAATTCGAATTGAAACAATTTTGCAAACGAATGCGCCACTATGTCCTGCACTAATAGGACTATATAGCGTGATATGTGTCACTTTCCTAAGTGGTCGTAGGAAAAAGTATTTTTATGATCATCATCATCATCATCTGAATTAGGGCGAGGTTCAAAGCCCACTTGTACTGAAGCTCTAGGCTTATTGTACCCCTCACAGTTTCTATCCCATCAGATTGATTTTCTTGATGAATTCAAGAATATGTCTGATGGGCGCTTTCGCGATTTCTTCAGGTTCCGGATATTGTACCCCGAAGTACCATTCCCGTTCCCATTTAAGGTTCCGGCAGTGGCATAGTATGTGAATAGGAGTTTCGTCCTCCTCTTCACATATTCTGCATAGGGAGTCATCAGATATCCCTAAGAGATTTAGGTGTCTTCTATGGCCGCAGTGTCCCGTAAGGAGTCCTATTACGGCCTTGAGTTCGCTTCTGCTAAGGTTTAGCAGTTGATGTTGTCTGCTTTTTATGATACTCTTCACACAGTAGTACGTGAAGAGTATTATACTTTGTCCGTCCGTCCGATGTCACGTTTTTCTGTCCGTACGATAAGTCAAAAACGGAAAATGATATGAACTTGAAAATTTAAGGAAAAATCAAGCTCTATAAGGGGACGAAGCTTATTGGATGACAAATGGGGGTTTTAAGGGGGGTTGAAATAAAAAAAATCAAGACAATAACGAAAAGTGTTAAAATTACATTTTTAGTAAAAATAAAGCTCTATAAGGAAATAAAGCCTATTGATTCTGAAATAAATTTGAATAAAAATGGGAGCTTAAAGACAGTTGGTGGCATATGAAAAACTTTTTTTATTAATAATATTAGGAAAAAAGTTATTCCTCATAAAAAGTCGAACATGGTCTAAAACATAAAGTACAGCTATCGGTTATCAAATTTTATCAGTTGTATACGAGGTACTTTAATCTTCAACAAAAATCATATTTTTGGACAAACCTCGTATACGGCTTAAAAAAATTGACATCTGATGGTTGCATTTTAAGTTTTGAACCGTACAGAATTTTTCAACGAGAATAAATTTTTTCACAAAACCAATAATAAACAAGTTTTCCATATGGTTCCAACTTAGTGACACATGTTTCCGAAACAAATGTAGCGCTATGCTAAAATAAAAACATTACCGAATAAACCTAGGAAATTTTTATTTATATAAAATTCTGCTACGGTCAGGAAATTATCCTTATCTTTATTCTAGTTAATTTTTTAAAATCACTTGTCAAAGTATCTGAAATATTCTGCATCCACTGAGTTGTATATAAATTCATAATTTGGCTTTAATTTTTTTGTTATTTATCTGTGTGAGTTTTTTACTGCTTTAGCTGAGAGAGTAATAAAGATTTCATTGTGGTCAGTCAGTTGCAGTACTCCCGATATACCTACAATTTATTTCAGGATCGAAATACCTGACAAATATATATGATCTATACAACTCTTTGTTTCATCCTGGATACGAGTACTTTTTTGATAAGAGAGATAAACCACATTGACCTTCATTGAATAAGCTAAATTGTAACCTTTAAGTGTAAACAATGATATATCGAGTACTTCTTTGGCCTGGGTAGATACAATACTATACCTGGTTATCTACACTTAGTCAAAAATATTTGGAATTCATCCAAGTTTTTTGTATACTTCTAATATTTATATGAATTATTTTAAAGTTTTCATTATTATTTTACCTTTAATATTTTACTGCATTCTTATTGTCACATCGTTTAAAAGGTAATTTAATGGGGAATAAATTATAAAACACTGCAAGATGGACGCCATAAGAAATTACAAAGTTACTCGAAAACAAAAGACTATTTGTATTTTTTTTCCATAAAAATATTCTCAGTTAAAAAGTGTTCTGAGAATGAAACACTTTGGAATATGTTAAATTAACGGTTAAGCCGCCATTTAAATAAAACGGCTATTTTTAGCATTTTAAATAACTCAAAAACTACATTAATTCGATTTAATTTTGCTATAACTTTAAATAATTTTGAAAACGAATAGGAGATTAGCATCAAAGTCTCGTCTGTAAAATATTCCCCTGTTATAATAAACCTTCTAGTTCTTATATTGTCCCTAATTAAAGCAAAAATAAATAAAAAAAATGTATATTTCAAATAAATAAAAATAATAATTTAATAATACACATTAAATACACAAAAATTTGCTAAAATAAATTAATATTCTTTGGTTTTATTTTGGCAAGAAGTCTTTTTTCAGAGGAAATAGGTAATACTATAATTAGCGTAAAGATGTCAATAATTAAACATTATTCTATTTTTTTCTTAAAAGGTATCTATAATGTGAACACCTGTCTCGAGATGGTAGAGGTTCAGCAACTTCAAAGTCTTCTGGTATACAAGGGGTCGTCACATGAATCATATTGGAATTTCTTATGCTTATATTTTTCTTTGTGTCAATAGTTTCAGTTTTTTTACTCCTAGCAGTATCACCGTTGGTTTTATTATTACTTTTAGAGTGTTTGTATTGTTTTTCTTTATTTTTAACATTATCACTATCACTGTCAGCTTCAGTATTTGCTACATTGGATATATATCCATCATTTCCTATGTACCGAACGACATCAGAAGACATTCCAAGACCTAATCGAATTTTACCATAATTTCCGATATACTTGATATTTCCTTTGCCTTTTAAAACCATTAATTCGCAGTGATCGCCAACAACTTTGATGCTACCGCTATTTTCTTCCAGTTTTACCTTGCAATTATTACCGGTAAGCATCAATGCGCTGTCGTTGCTTTCGATGTTCAACACTAAGTTATTTCCGACGAATTTCTTCCTATCCTGTCGCGGGATAGACACTCTTTCAACCGGGACCACCATATCGCGACTAGGACTATAATAACAGCGAGAATTATTTTTATTATCTAACGATGGTTTGAATGTGATAACTTTTTTTGGACTGAGCGCTCGGATTGAACGGTTGACGAATTTAAAGCTCGATGCGGTTATTTACAGTCCGTTAGTTTGATTAAAAACTTTTACTTTACTCCCAGGTCACTCGTCGAGAACGATGACGATTATCTATGGGGAACTACAATATGACACGGCTGGTTAATTAAGCAGGGGGGGAACACGGTGTTGTTATGTTATTTATCCATTCGATTAGATTATAAATGATTTACATTTTTTCAGCACGTGCTTTTTTTTATTCGTTGATTATAAATTACTGTTTGTTTTCGTTATTTTATTTCTTACTTACATATTACGGGTTTATTTATAACACCTTGAATATGGTTATTATCGTTAAGAGCGGCTTCGAACTATACAGGGGGACCTGTATAAGGTCTAAAAGGAAAATTTACATTACAAACTAAAAGACCTGCGGGGCAACGGTACTTTGGTAGGTATAAAAATTACAACTTAAGGGTGGAGCCTACATACTAAAAAATTACTTCCGAGACCAAACAAAATCAGCATTCATTCATAATTTTAACAATTGCATGTAGATACGAGGGATGCATATTCTAAACTTTAACGCGCGAAGTTGAAGACAAAGGAACCGAAAAATATTCCACAATAGCACAAAATAATATTACCTATGTATTTTACAATATAAAGGCTGTATGTCACGATACTGAATTAAGTACTAAATTTAGAACTAAATTAATGCATTTTTTAAGTACTAAAAAATTCACGTTGCAAACAGCAAATTTAGTACTAAATTTAGTACTAAAAAAAGTCATTAATTAATTAGATCTTGTTCTATTTTCTACTAAATTTAGTACTAAAAGTGCGCCGAAATGTTGCGCAGAAGTTTTTCATAGAAAAAGTTGACACGACGGTATTTTCTGTACCCTTTTATTTTTAATTAGCCACAATTTCACATTATCGCCTTGAATAAAGTTCGCCTGTTTGATTTTGTAGGTTTTATTGTGTTTTTCCGTGGTTTTTATGCTGTATTTGGTTGTCAAGTCAACTAGTATCAAATTGATAATAAAAACACCATTTATTTCACTTGTCTGTTTTACACAGAATATTTCATTTCTCTACTAATTTCACATATTAATACGTCAATGCGCGTGCGCCCATAGTAAATTTAGTACTAAAAATTGGTATCGTTGCAAACGGAAAAAAAATATTTTAGTTCTAAATTTAGTACTAAATTAATGACTTAATTTAGTGCTAAATTTAGTACTTAATTTAGTATCGTGACATACAGCCTTAAGTATGGTGTAGATTAAAACTTATTTTTGCTGTCGACAAATTTGGTTAAAAAATCTTCTTTTAGAAATATACCTTTCATTTGACGAAAAACGAAGGCCTAAACGAAAAAAAAATATTCTTCATAAAAGTTTCGCCTGTGTATTGACAAGGTAATAGTGCTTTCCTTATATTTTTTGCTATGAAATTAACAAAAATATAGCAATAAGCAATTACTGATGTCATGGTTTTACAGGAAAGGAAGCAGTCTCTTGACTGTATGCGTCTCTCTCAGGGATGAAATGTATGCAATCTGTTTGTATCTAGATTTTTGATGATAGTGCCCTTCTACACAGTCTAATTTTGTGTTACCTCCGGAATAAGGGTTACCTTATCATGACCTTTTATCTCTGAAAAATTCAGCTTGTTACAAAGAGGGGTAAATCGTTTTCTAGAGCGAATATTTTAATACATACACTCTACTAATAATTGAAGAAAAGCGTCCATAGTATAGCAATACATTCCCTTCTATATCACATAATAATATGTCCTCGATACAAAAAGTCAAAGTAACAAAAACAGGAGGCTAATGTAAACAAACAATAAACGGTCTCATGACATTTTATATTTTTAAATAAACTAGGTTTTTAAAAAATATTTTCTATATCTGTTATTTTTTATATTCAAGCGGATTTATAATATTTAAACTTGGAGTAGCCATGTGTGAGTTGGTTAAATGAAAAGGTATCTTTGGTTTTATAATATGTAGCGATCAGATACAATGTTTCAGCATATTATTATTATTTATATTTTAACAAAAATTATTTTTATTGTATGAATAATCTGTTATAATGAGGTACAGCTTCTAGAACAAATTCATAAAAAACCCGTACTGTTAAACTCGCCATTTATTTGGCATTCTGTCCCGTACTTCTATGTCTCTATTAGCTCTGCTGTCAACTAGTTCTGGTAAGGCATATTGCATATAATAATTTTGAATTTTATTTTGCACCTTTTCTTCCTAAAAGCTGTCATTATGAGGAATTTCCTCCACTTTTATTTCTCGAGAAGTCCAAACGCACAAAATGCAAAAATTTATTTGTGTAATGTGCAGCTAGCCCTGAATTTGAAAGTACCGATTTTGGTTCCCCTTAATGGTATTATCGGCAAATAATAATAATAATAGCCGTCCCTTCCCCTACACAAGTCGTTCAGTCGACTTCAGGGGTTGAAATTCACTCGTAAGGGGGTGAATTAGGGAGAGTATTATTATTATTATTATTAATATTATTTAAAAGGCTTTAGCAAAAAATAAAAGATTTTATGAGAATGTTTAAAAAATGCCTTTCCTTTTTTTACAAATGTCTCCAAATTTTGAAACAGTGACTCGTTTTCGTCTTTCATTTTGCTACAATCCACAATCAGCTTGATCTCTTGTCACATTAATTTTTTTCTCATCTATAGACATCAAACTTTTTAGAAAATCTTCTTTTGAGAGATCAAAGCTACGCTCAAAAGCAAAAAAAATGATTTACTAAGTTCGAAAAAATATACATTACTTTAACACCTTAAAGAGTTGTTAACTTGCTGGAATTAATTATTCTCAACTCGAAGATGTATTCATTAAAAAAAATTCCCGTGCAATATAAAAGTTAATTTATAATTCAAATCTCATTGTATACCTTTTAATTTCAGATATATTTTTTTAATAAATAAATGATAAAATTAATTTAAAATAATTGAGCGAAATTACTGTATGTAAAAATAACAAAATGTACAGACATAAAACAAAATAAATTCAAATCACTTGCGTACGTTTATCATTTGTAAACAGTAGAAAAGGATATACATTTAGTTGGTGTCGCCCTCTAGACGAAAAAGCTTTTAACGTACTTTTTAATTTTTATTGAGAAAAATAAATGTTCCTGTAAAAATTAAAAACATATATTGTTCTCTTCTAGCATTTTTATTTGTATTTTTTTTTTTTTTGATAGAAAGATATCTCCTTACATTTTCTCAAAATAAACCGATTCAAATGTTCAAAAAGTGACTCCTTTACCTGTACTTACATAATTTTTTAAAAAATGAAAAATAATCCGTAAAATTGGTGTACTATGAAACCCATTGCATATTATATAAATATGTCTATATTAGTATTACAGAAATGATTTACGTAAAACAATAAGGTGTACCTACAAATACGTAAACTTTAATTATCCCTCGTAAAACATCAGTAAAATATTTTGTAAATTGTTTTCATTCACAAATATTAATTTCTTAAAAATCTAACAGAGGCGCCACTTGCCAGACGAAAAATCTTGCAATGTAAGGGTTTCGTAGTACCCCACTTTTAAAGTTTATTTTTAAGTATTTTTAAAAGAAAAAAATATGTACGTGTAGATAAAGGTTAAATCTATGCTCCTCTGGAACCACTTTTTCAAAATTCAATTTAATTTTTTCTAAAAAAAATTGAGAAAATGGATCAAAAAAGTTGAGTTTTGTGTTTTTTTTTTTTAGAAAAAACAAATTGAAATTTTGAAAAAGTGTTTCCAGAGGAGCACAGATTTAACCTTTACCTACACGCACATATTTTTTTCTTTAAAAATATGTCAAAAATAAACTTTAAAAGTGGGGTACTACGAAACCCTTGCATGCTCTGCTCTAAAGCCAAGTAAATACTCCTCATTCGCTTGGCCCTGTTTCCAAAAAGATAAAAAAGAAGGCCCAATTTGATCACAGTTCATGGAATTATTATTTACGAACAATAAATGGACAACAAGATCCAATAATTTTGTGGAGGGTTGGCACAGAAACTTAAAAAACCATTTTCATGGCAGTCATCCTTCTTACTGGGTACTTATTGAAGGATTACTCAGAGAACAGCCTATTCAAGAGTTAAAAATCAACCAACAAATTACCGGATGTCAAAAAATGAAAGAAAAAATACAGAGACAAAAATAGCCATCTAGTGAACCTTGTTTGTCGCTTTCCTAACGAATACGAAGATAACGATAAGTTTTTTGTAGATTATGTTAAAAAAATTGCTAGCGTTATATAAATAATGTCAATTATTTTGTTCTATTTTTAATCAGTATAACTTTAGTTGCATAAATACAGTTTTCAAATCTATTATTCGTTGGATTTTTTATATTTCACTATTTTTAATGTTGATTTTCGATATATTGTCCTTTCGATCTAATGAATTTTAGATCTTTTGTCTTTTTGATTAAATGTTATTCGATTAAATATATCTTCGATCAAATGTTATTCGATAAAATGTATTTTCGATCAAATGTTTTTCGATCAATTTTGTGCCACCCATATTTAATAGTACCTATTAAATAATTTTCAACTTTGACTTTATCATTCTTTTAGGGTACCTATTTTTTAAGTTATTATGTTATTGATTATAATATTCTACTCTTCACACAGTAGTCTGTGAATAGTATTATAGGTTTCACGGTTCTTATCTGCACGATAAGTTACAAACCAAAAAATGATCTCAACTTGAAAATTTAAAGCAAAAACCAAGCTCTATAAAGGGATAAGCCTACTGTTTCTGAAAAAATCCGATTAAAAATAGGAGGTTAGGATGGGTTGAAATTAAAAAAAATCCTAAATTAAAAAAGAAAAGCGATATGAACGTGAAATGTTTAGTAAAAATGAAACTCTATAAGAAGAGATAAAGCCTATTGATTTTGAAAAAAAAATCTGAATAAATATAGGGGAGTTAGGGAGGGTTAAAATATAAAAAAAATCTTAACTTCAAAAACGAAAAATTATATTAACTTGAAATTTTTAGCAAATATCAAGCTATATAAGGAGAAAAAGCTCTTTAATTTTGAAACAAATATTGATTAAAAATGGGGGTT